CTGCAAGTCTGCTTGTCTGCTAAGCAGACACTGATTCCTAAAGATTGGAACTACTGCACTTCACTCCCGTGCAGGGTACCAGATATCACTGCTGGTTTTCAGCCTCAAATTGCTCCCTCAAGGCATCCCTAATCCTTGCAGCCCTGTGCTGGGCCCCTGTAAAAGCCCTGCTCTCTGGCTGTGCAAATTCAGCCTCCAGGTGTTGAACCTCAGAGGTTCATGCCTGAGTAAAGCTTTCACCCTTCCCTTCACAAATATTATGGAGGGCACAGCACGCGGATATAACCGCGGGGATGCTGTTTTTGGCCAAGTCCAGCTTCCCATACAGAGATCGCCAGCAGGCCTTTAAACGGCCAAAGACACACTCCACAGTCATTCGGCACCGGCTCAGCCTGTAGTTGAACCATTCCTTGCTGCTGTCAAGGCTCCCTGTGTAGGGTTTCATGAGCCACGGCATTAACGGGTAAGCGGGATCTCCAAGGATCACAATGGGCATTTCAACTTCCCCTACCGTGATCTTCCGCTCTGGGAAAAAAGTCCCGGCCTGCATCTTCCTGAACAGCCAAGTGTTCTGAAAGTTGCGTGCGTCATGCACCTTTCCGGGCCAGCCTGTGTTAATGTCAATGAAACGCCCATGGTGATCCACAAGCGCCTGGAGAACCATATAGAAATACCCCTTCCGATTAACGTACTCGGATCCTAGATGGGGTGGTGCCATAATAGGAATGTGCGTCCCATCTATCGCCCCATCACAGTTAGGGAACCCCATTTGTGCAAAGCCATCCACTATTTCCTGCACGTTACCCAGAGTCATGGTTCTTCTGAGTAGGATGCGATTAATGGCCTTGCAAACTTACATCAACATGATTCCAACAGTCGACTTTCCCACTCCAAACTGGTTTGCGACTGACCAGTAGCTGTCTGGAGTTGCCAGCTTCCAGATTGCAATAGCCACCCGCTTCTCCACTGGCAGGGCAGCTCTCAATCTCGTGTCCTTGCGCCGCAGGGTGGGGGCAAGCTCCTCACACAGTCCCATGAAAGTGGCTTTTCTCATCCGAAAGTTCTGCAGCCACTGCTCGTCATCCCAGACTTCCATGATGATGTGATCCCACCACTTGGTGCTTGTTTCCCGAGCCCAAAAGCGGCGTTCCACGGTGCTGAGCATGTCCATGTATGCCACAAGCAATTTCGTGTCGTACGCGTTACGCGGCTTGATAGCATCGTCGGACTCCTCACTCTCACTGTCACTTTGGATCTTAAGGAATAGTTCGACAACCAAACGTGACATGCTGGCGAGATCAGTCAGCATACGCCTCAGCAGTTCGGGCTCCATTTCCCGCAGACAGATCGCGCTGCACAGAAACCGTTGAAAGATGGCGCCAAAGGTGAACGGAAACAAAGGGATTTCTGGGATGCGAAGCGATGCATCACGGGGCATTGGGACAGGACCCAGAATGCCCCGCACCCACGCCCCCTTCCCACAACCCATGGTGCCAGAATGGGAAAAGGTGCTCTGTGGGATAGCTGCCCATAATGCACTGCTCCCAATAGCGCTGCAATTGCAGCAAATGTGGCCACGACAGTGCGCTGGGCAGCTGTCAGTGTGGACAGACTGCAGCGCTTTCCCTACTCAGCTGCACGAAGTCAGGTTTAACTCACAGCGCTGTACATCTGCAAGTGTAGCCAAGGCCTTTGTTATGAAACCAGGAACGCTCCCCAGTCAGAAGAGAAGCATTCCCAAGTGTGAAATACTAGTGTATCACAGGAGGTGTCATCTCCTGTCCAACACAAGAAGGTTTACAGCCATCAGACAAGCTATTGTGGAAAATTGTGGACAAAAGACTTAGTTGATTGCTTCCCCCCACACCCATGTAGAGGAGCTGGAGGCCCAAACACTGATCCCATCAGTTAACAATGCCTAGCCAGAATGATCTCTATGCTGCTTGGATGCTGGTGGGGCCGGGGGGGGGGGGGGGAGGATGTTTTAGTGTTTTAGGCACAAAGGCCTTGGCTATACTTGCAAGTTACAGCGCTGTAAAGCCTCCCCCAGCACTGTAACTCACTCCCCTTCCACACTGGCAGGGCACTTACAGAGCTGTATCTCCCTGGGTACACCGCTGTAGGTACTCCACATCTCCAAGAGGAATAACAGCAGCAGAGGAGTGGCTATGACTCATGGGTGTACCTTGTCAAGTGGCCAATCCTCTTCATTGTTATGACCGGCTGCAGGAATGCGGAAGTGCCGGTTTCAAAGCTCTTACCACAGAGAAAAGCTAACAGTTTGCAGCTTGCTTTGAGTGAGTAAATGAATGAGCAGGGGGCCGGGAGTTCAGAACTTGCAAAATAGAGAGCTGACATGCTCCAAAAAGCACTCTTTCTTCCCCCACACTCTCTGTCACAATCCATCCCCCATTTTGAGAAGCACGTTGCAGCCACATGAATGCTGGGATAGCTGCCCATAATGCACCGCTCCCAACACAGCTGCAAATGTTGCAAGTGTGGCCACAACACTGTGCTGTCAGCTGTCAGTGTGGACAGACTGCAGCGCTTTTCCCTACTCAGCTGTACGAAGACAGGTTTACCTCACAGCACTGTACAGCTGCAAGTGTAGCCAAGGCCAAAGTGAGACAGCTGCAGCTACTCAGCTTGGGCTAGTTCTAAAGGACATACAGAGCTTGCTTATCATAGAAGCTTCTATTATCTTTTGAAACTTACGATTGTAACTCGTTTGTGTGTATACATTTGCCTGCTTTAACCTTTGAAATAACTCTCATTTCCTTCTTTTAGCCAATAAATCGTTAGTAATTTGTTACAGGATTGGTTACAAGTGTTGTCTTTGGTTTGAGATCTGACCTGCAATTGAACTGGGGTAAATGACTGGTCCTTTGGGAGAAAGCAAATATTGTTGTGATTTTTGACACAATGGATCATCTATCACAAAGGCAGGCTTGCCTGGGTGGCAAGAAGGAGTATCCAAGGGGACTGTCTATAACTCTATGGTAAAGCTGTTACAGTGTTTGAGGAGTTCACACTTGATACTTGGTTGTAGAACACACAGTCAGCCCTCAGGTCAGTACTCACATTTCTGAGCTACTCCTAACAGTGTAATCTACAATGGAAAGAGACTAATAAAGAAATAACAACACCTTCATTCAGGAGGTTACATACAATAGCCCTGCAGTGTAATTCTGTAGAATGCTTTTCCAAATAATAAAAATACCTTTCTTTGCATCGAAATCTAAAATAGAGATTTCTCAATGGTAGCAAATTGTGACAGCGGCAGCCTTATTGTGTGTCATAATTCGCTACACATGGACCAAAGGATGGAAAGGGGGTAGCAAATTATGACAGTCATTCCCCCATTCATCTCAACTTGCTACCAATGGATCAGAGGATGGGAAAAGACAGAGGTAGCAAACTGTGACAGACATACCTCTCTCTGTCACAACTTCTGGCCTCTGGACCAGGAATTGGGAAAGATAAAGGATGGGGAGAGTGAGGGGAGTAAATTGCAATGAGAATTTCCCATCCATCAGAATTTATTACCCCCTCCTGAAGATGAGGAAAGGAAGAGGAAGGAAAACTGTCACAGGTGTACCCTCATCCATCACAATTTGTTACCCTGTATCAGGAATGGAGAAAGATAAAAGAAGCAAACTCTGATAGGCATATACCGATTCATCACAACGAGCTACCTCTGAATCAGAGGATAAAGAAAGGTCTGGAGCAGAGGCAGGGGTGAGGGATTCTTCCTAAAGTGGGGAAACCATGAGGCCCTGCCCCTTCTGTAGACCCACCCCACACCTTCTCTCCCACTTGAGACCCCGCCCCCCCAATGAAGCTGGAAGGTGCAGCTGGGCCAGGCAGCCTGGGCCCCTCCACCTGCCAGGGTGGGGGGCCCGAGAGCAGCCCCCAGCCCATGTCCCTGCCCCCCCCCCCGGGCAGGTGAAGGGTCTGAGGCACCCCACAACTGCCTGTATGGCTCTTACCCTGACAAGACAATGGTAAGAGCTGCCAGGGCAGGTGTGGGGAGTCACAGACCCTCCATCTGCCTGGAGTGGGGGGCGCGAGTGACGGGGACATCGGCCAGAGGCTGCTCTTTCATACACACACACACACACCCATCCTGGGCAGGTGGAGAGTCCATGTCTCCCTACAGCTGCCTGGGCTCCCCATGGCCTCTCTTACCTGGGCTGGGCTCCAGCTTCTGAATCTGGCCTGGCCAGGGGGCAGGGCCTCAGGGAAAAGAGGAGGGACTGGGGGCTAGACCATGGAGAAAAGTGGACAGGCTGTGTCCCTTGGGCCCGCCCCCGTGTTCTGGCACCCCTGAAGGGGATGGGCAAAGGTAGAAGTAGAAAATTGTGACAGGCATATCCGATATCCATCACAAGTTTCCACCCCTGTACTAGGAGATAGGGAAAGGCAGAGGATGGGGAAAGGTGAGAGATAGCAAATTTTGATGGGAATGTCCCCATCCGTCAGAATTTACCAGCCCTGGACCAAAGGATAGAGAAAGGCAGAGGTGGTAAAACTATGATAGACTAACCCCGTCCATCACAGTTTCTTACCCCTGGACCAGAAAATGGGGAAAGGTGAGAGGTACTATATTGCGGTGGGAATGCCTCCATCCAGCACAACTTACTGCCCTGGGACTGCAGGATGGGGAAAGGCAGAAGCAGCAACTTGTATGGCAGCAAAAGGGAGAATACACAGATGTCAAACAGCTACCAGTCAGGGTGAAGGGTAGCATGTAGTGCCAAAGAGAGAAAGAGAGAGAATTGGAGGTTTTTTTCCTACAGCCCAGTGATGAGTTAATTTTATCCTACAAGTAACCAGAGGAAGCTGGCGGCATAGCACTCGCAATTCCACGCCCTTAACTAGGGGAACAGCCCTCGAGGCTCAGACCAGGGCTCGCAGACAGAGACATGTGGAGAAAAGAGACCCAGTGCAATCGGTCTCGCTAGGACCCAGAAGGCGCCGGGCGGAGCGATTCCCGGGGTCACTCAGCCTGGCAGCAGGAAGTGAATAGCAGTCGCTGCAGTGACTCTGTTGCAAGACCCCCGGGCCTCGGCTGCTGCCGCTGGGGACCCCAGAGCCCTGGCTGCAGGCGGGGGAGGAACAGTCCCACTGCTCCCCGACAGACTGTCCCAGTGCAAAGACCCCAGCCTGTCCCGTCGCCCCCTTACTGGGACCCAGAGCCCTGCTCCCAGGCAGAGCCCCACGTGGATAGAAGGTGAGACCTGCCCCCCTCCCCAGGGAAAGACGCTCCCGGTGCAGCCTGTCTGCAGGGGCAGGGGGATGCCCCAGACTGCTCCCAGCTGGGCTGACTGCGATTCCCTGCATTGGGCAGAGGAAAGCTGGCTGCCAGCTCCCATAGTTTGCAGTGAATGTGAGGGATTAGGGGTGGGATAGCAACATGTGGGGAGCCAGAGGGGTGTGGGAGCTGGAAGGGGGTTGAAGAGGGGCAGGGGGCTCTGAGAGCCAGAGGGCATTGAGGGGAGAACAGGGATGTGTGAGGGGACAGGGATGCTGGGGGCGGGATGGGACTATGGGACTGCTGAAGGGAGGCTGAGGGAATACCCAGGAATCAGGGGGAGAATTGTGGGTCTCAGGGGAACAGAACTGGAATAGAGGGAAACTCTGAGTGGGGGGGAGGATAAAGAGAAGGAAAGGGGACAGGATGTGGGGAGAGGGGCTGTGGGGAAGCTGGAGGGAGAATATGAGAGCAAGTGGAGACTGGCTGGGGAAGGGAGAGCCAGAGGATAGGAGAAGAGAGAGGGATGGTGAGAGATACAATGGCAGCTACCCCAGCCCATGGGGTAGTAGAGGAAGAGGGGGCTGCCCCGTCTAGGGTGACCAGATGACAGGAAGAAAATATCCGGACACAAGGGGGGGGGGGTCACTGGCGGAGCAAAAAAAACCAAAAATCGAGTGCTGCCGGTGTAACGACACAAACAGCTCCCTCTCCCAATTCCCTATTGTGGCCCAGTGCTGCTGGCAGTCGGGGGCGGGAGCTGAGAACAGCCAAGTGCTGCGGGCAGTCAGAGGAGATTATGCACCCTCCCTTAGCTATGCATACCTTCAGCCTCTGGTTTTCAGGAGGGGGGGGGAAAAACCAAGGGAAAACAGCTGAGTGTTGCGTTTTGTGCTGATACACCCGCAGTCAGAGGAGAAGAAAAAAAAAAGCCAAGAACAGCTGAGTGCTCCCGGCGGAGGAAAAAAAAAAGCGGAGTGCAGCGTCCCGACTGAAGATCAATCGGGACGCGGGACAAATACCTAAATATCGGGACGGTCCCGATTTTATCGGGACGTCTGGTCACCATAGCCCCGTCCAGCACCCAGGGGGGAATCTTATTCCTTAGAAATGGTCAAACATTAGGGAGTGGGCAGGGGACTTTTCCCTAAGGGATCAGAATTTACAAGGTAAATATCCCCCTCCCATACCCTACTCCCAATTTAGACTTCCATATTCTTAAAACAATCTCATTATTTTGGGGGTCTGACTCCTGAATGTTAAATGTTTGGGGTTGACAGGATTGAACAGGGCCCAGGGGGAGGATCAGAGTGTGAAATGGACTAAAATTAATTCAGAAACCTCCCCAATTGCCCTACTCACCCTGACAGCCTGCAGAATAAAAAATACATTTTGCTCCAGATCATCCCATCTTCCTAGGGGCCGGGGAAGGGAAATGGCTGTGAGGAAGCCAGCTCAGGTAGGGGATATTTTGAGGAGAGCTGCTGGGGAGGGTTGTTGTAAAGGGGGAGGGGCAGGAAATACACAGGGTGAGGCAGGGAGAGGGACAGGGTGTGATAATCCTGCTGGGACATGCTCAGCCTAGGGCCTGATTTATGAACAGGCCCATTGTGGGTGGAGTTAACAATCCTCCGTTTCTGAAAGAGGAAACAACTCCCTGGATAGGGCAGGGGAAAGAGACCAGAGTGCTGGAGCTTGAACCTTCTAGCCAGAGATTGCAGTGAAATACAAAGGGAAGGTGTTGGGATTCCTGTCACTGTTCCGTGCCCAGAGCTCTGCTTCCCCCATCAGCCTGTGCCTAGTAGGTAGGTGTGTGGTAAATGAGAAAACCCTGCCCTCCTCTGTCTGCTGGGAAGAACAAGGAGCCTTCACCACCTCTCTGTTCCCTGGAGCCTCCTGGCCACTCTGAACAGGGTGGGGTGGGATTCCGCTCTTCTGGCCCTCCCAGAGCTGTCCTATTTTTGTGCTTCTTCCTCCGTGAATAGTGGGATTGTGGCCGGGGCAGCAGGTACTGAGTGGGGAGCACTTGTTGTTTCAGATGCCGGTGACCTTTGAGGAGGTGGCTGTGTATTTCACCAAAGGGCAGGGGGCTCTGCTGGACCCCAGTCAGAGAGCCCTTTACAGAGATGTCATGCAGGAGAATTATGAGATTGTGACCTCACTGGGTAAGGATTCATTTACCCTCAGCTATTTGAAGCCATAGGGCCTGCATTCCTGCATTTGGTCAGGTTTTTCCTTGCTCAGTGAGATTAGAGGAGAAAGGGTCACATAGTCCACAGCCCCAGTGTGAGAGAGCCATTCACCTCCATACCCCCTCTAATGGGATAGGGGAGTCATGAACTTAATGGACATGCTATTTTATCCCCATCCCTCCAGCTTTCACAGGAGCTGTGTATTATCCTATCTGCACTAATTCTCACTCACACACAGGATCTCTGTTCACCTCACTTCCTGGGAATAGCTCCATGTGTGGGGAAGACTCTGGGCTCTGGTGGTTTAGACATAGACAGAAGTTTAACACCAGAGCTGTTTGTGTCTCAGCAAGTCCCCCAGAGCCCACAGATCCTGAAAACTCCTAGTAAGGGTGTGACAATTCCCCCCTCCCCTAGACATCTGCCTCTCCCAAGGGGGCTCAGTTACCATGTTCCCATCAGTTTAGCTCCCACAACCCCCCAGGAAATCATGGAGTCAGTTTAATCTCAAGATGTGCCCTTTGTGAGGACATACTCCACCAATCCTCAGTGCACTCACATCATGCCTGATTTCACCCCCTGAGCAGGACTCCCCATTTCTAAACCTGACCTGATTGCCCGGCTGGAAGCAGGGGAAGAGCCGTGGGTCCCAGATCTCCAGGTCTCTGAGGAAAGGAAGATCCCAAGAGGCACATGCACAGGTGAGGGGTCAGTGACACTGACACACAAGGTATATGGCAAATGAAGGAAAAAGCTGAAAATGTGGTGTGAGCCCCCTCAGTTCTGCCTCATCTCACCCAGGTCAGGCTGTGGTCAGCAGGTGTCATATCATCATGGCAGATATCGCTCATGGCTTCCCACCCACCCTGTTAGCTATCAGGAGTTTTTTCCCTGACTTCACTTCTCTGTGAATGTTTGGATGGGATATGGAGACAGAATCCAATTTCTCAGTCTCCCCAACAGTTGTTGTGTTTTCCCACTTTTCTATTCCCCTTTGTGTCCTTTGTACTAGCCCAGGCAATGACTCCTGCCTGGATTCTCTCTCTCCTCCAGCAGATGAGACAATGAGTGAGAACAAGGAGGGGAATCCACAGCAGGAAGGTCCCAAGGAAGTGGAACTGCAGGGAACCTTTTTGAGAAGAGCTGAAGGGAATTTTTCCAAGTGCTTGGAACAGAGAAAAGCCTGCAGTAATTTGCGCAGGTCGGAGAGAAACCTGGGAAACCGCCCAATAAAGAAAGTGGATGAATCCATTGAATGTGAAAGAGGCGGCAAGGATCTCAAGGAAACCACAGCCCAGCGGACAAATCACAAGGAAAAGAAACCCAATAAATGCTTGCACTGTGGGAAAAGCTTCAGTCAGCGCTCAGTACTTACTAACCATAGGAGAATCCACACAGGAGAGAAACCCTATAAGTGTCTTGCATGTGGGAAAAGTTTCAGTCAGCACTCAGGACTTACTAACCATAGGAGAATCCACACAGGAGAGAAACCCTATAAATGCTTTGACTGTGGTAAAAGCTTCAGTCAGAGATCAGGTCGGATTACACATCAGAGGACCCACACAGGAGAGAAACCCTATAAATGCCTGGACTGTGGGAAAAGCTTCAATGAGAAATCAACTCTAATTAAACATCAGAGAACACACACAGGAGAGAAACCCTATAAATGCCTTGAGTGTGGGACAAGTTTCAGTGTACCATCAGCCCTTGTTGTACATCAGAGAACCCATACGGGAGAGAAACCTTATAAATGCTTGTACTGTAGGAGAAATTTCAGTCGGTGCTCAAGCCTTATTAGACATAGGAGAATCCACACAGGAGAGAAACCCTATAAATGCTTTGACTGTGGGAAAAGCTTCAGTCAGAGATCGGCTCAGACTAAACATCAGAGAACCCACACAGGAGATCAACCCTTTAAATGCTTGGACTGTGGGAAAAGCTTCAATGAGAAATCAGTTCTGATTAAACATCAGAGAACCCACACAGGAGAGAAACCCTATAAATGCCTGGACTGTGGAAAAAATTTCAGTGGACCATCAGCCCTTATTGCACATGAGAGGACCCACACAGGAGAGAGACCATATAAATGCTTGGACTGTGGGAAAAGTTTCAGTCGGTGCTCAAGCATTATTAGACATAGGAAAATCCACACAGGAGAGAAACCCTATAAATGCCTGGACTGTGGGAAAAATTTCAGTGGACCATCAGCCCTTATTGCACATCAGAGGAGCCACACAGGAGAGAGACCATATAAATGCTTGGACTGTGGGAAAAGTTTCAGTCGGTGCTCAAGCATTATTAGACATAAGAAAATCCACACAGGAGAGAAACCCTATAAATGCTTTGACTGTGGGAAAAGTTTCAGTCAGGACTCACACCTTATTAGACATCAGACAATTCACACAAGACGGAGACCCCATAAATGCTTGGATGATGGGAAAAACATGGGAGAGAGACCCTATAAATGTTTGGACTGTGGGAAAAGCTTCAGTTGGCGCTCAATCCTTATTAGACATGGGAGAATCCACATGGGGTAGAAACCCTATAAATGTTTGGACTGTGGGAAAAGCTTCAGTCAGCGGACAGGCCTTATTAAGCATGGGAGAACCCACAAGGGGGGAAATTGTGAAATTGTCAGAACTCACACCTTATTACACATCCAGACAGTCCACATAAGAGAGAATCCACATAAATACTTGAATGGTGGGAAAAGCTTCAATCCCAGGTCATACCTTCCTAAACATCGGAGAATTCACATAGGACAGAATCTATAAATGCCTCAACTGTGGAAAAAGTTTCATTCGAAGCTCAAACCTTGTTTCACAGACAATCTACGAAAGAGAGAGAGCACATAAATACTTAGATTGTGGGAAAAGCTTCAATGGCTGCAGAAAAAGATTCATTCTAAGCTCACACATTAGTCCCCATCAGATAATTTACAGAAGAAAGAGCTTGAATGTGGGGGTGCCTTCATTTGGTGCTCGCACGGCATCAAGCATCAGCAAATCCACCCAGGGAAGAGCCCTCTCGGATGTCTTTATCTTGGAAAATGCTTTAGATGGAGCTAACACCATACTGGACGTAAGAGACTCCTCCACACAGGAGAGAAATTCTCTCAGTTCCCTGACTAGGGCTGACCAAAGTAAAAACTCCATTTCCTAATTCCCACACACAGCAGTGGCATTTGGCTCCCAGGTATCCAGCTGCCCATGTCTGGGGGCAGGTTCCAGCAGCAGCTGACCCTGAGCTGATCAGCAACCCTCTGTTTTTGCCTGGTCTAAGCAAACCCCAGGCAGAGGAGAAGTCCTTATCAGCCCCTGCTGCAGCCCTGGCTGCTGAACTGATGGGCCTTCCTGCCTCCTGGTAACTTGCTTGGGGAAGGGAGAGAGAAACACTTCCAGAAGCTCCCTGTGCCTGGATAAAGTTCCCCCCTCTCCCTTCCCAGACGTGATGCCCCTTCCATGGAGATTAGGAGAGGGATACTTGGGCCAGGCCTCACATTCACTCTGGATGCCTGTCCCCACCTCACCCCCATTTCCCAGCAGTCCTGGCCTGGTTTCCCCCACTTACCTGGAGCTGGTCCCTGCAGAGTGAATGTCCCTGGGGCTGGCAACTCTTCCCCTCCCTAAATCCCTGAAAGTGCTGGGTTCTGGGGGATCAAGTGTGAAAGGACCAGGAGGGATGGGTTTTGGATAGGAACCTGGGGGATTGAATGGTTGGGTCTGGTGGATGTTGGAAGCAGAGGGTGCTGGAGAAATCAAATATTAGGGATCATGGGCTAAGAGCGGAGAGTACCGGGAAGAGAGGTGCTGCTTGTATCACTCACCCCCTCTGCCCCTTTTTCCCTGCATCCTCTGCATTCAGAAAGCTCCATTGAGAGGGACTGATTTCCACAGGGTCTTTTGTAGGAGGACTAAAGGTCTAGGGATCCCACCTCTGCCTCCACAGCATCATCCTCCAAGGGTCTCTCTGTGGTGGGAAAAGTGGTTGGGATTAGCTAGCAAATCTCCCCTGACCCTCCTCCACTTTTCCTAAACTAGACTGACCCCAACCATCTTACACATTCCATCCCCCTTTAGCAGAGTGATTGTTAGAGTCACTGAGTTCCCCCTTTGGGGAGAGATTGTCTCATTCCTACATAGTCTCACATTGCTCCAGGTTATGCAAAATAAATAAATAAATTATTTTTTGTACATTGACTCCCTTAAAGACCAGAATTAACAGATCCTAAAAGTGCTGGACCAGGGATAGGAAAATGTGGTGTTTTGGGTTCTGTGTTATTTGAGGGTGATGGGGTGAGTTGGAGGGGTTCCCTCTTCTCCCCTTCGCTGTCACACTTCACCCCGACACAGCAGCCTCTGTCTGAGCTTTAGAGAGTTTATCCTCTCCCCATTCTCTCCACCTCCCAGGATGGCTCTTGTCACAATGTTCTTTGCTCTCCATGCTTAGGAATCACACTTTGATTCTTTTGATCCTGACTCAGACTCCTGAGGGCTAGAGATGAGTGTCCAAGACCTGGAGGGGGAATTCAAATGAATCCCAAAGCTCTGTTTGAGCTTTCTGAGCTTAAACCCCTGTTTCCATCTATTGATAAAGTGGCTTCTAGGCTTTTTCCAGCCAAGTCCAGAATATTTGTGGAGGGATAGATTTTAGGTTTGGCTTTTTTTTCTTTTTCTTTTTTAGATCAGGACAATGCTAAAACTTTTGTAAATGACACAACCAAATAATGAGGAGGTGCTGAATACAGGTTTAGCCAGTTCAGAGGAAAATGGATACATTTGTTTTCCTTCTTTTGGGAGTTATGATTCTGTGGGATTTCTCTTTATCTAACCTGAATGTGTTCTGTAGCCCATCTGGTAGTGCTGGATTTTCTCTTTTCTGAAGGGTGTTTAGTCACATACTTTGATATTAGTTTAGTTTGACAGGGTGTAGCACAGTTTTATTCAGGACTTTATGAGACAAACGATCATTTGCCAGAAGAGTCCTTTTTTATTTTATTGTAACCTTTCTTTACCCTTTGTCATGAGATTTTTGTGTGTTTGAACAATGAAAATTATCACTATCTCTCAGCACGAATACCAAGGATGAGAGCTAGATTCACACTCTGAGAGGCCGAAACTGAACGGGGCATGGAGTTACTGCCTGATCCCTACAGAGATGTGAGATGCAGTCAGGAGCGGGAGAGGGTGGGGAAACAGAGCTGGGAAACTGCAGACTTTTCTCTTGAGAGCCAGACAGCTGATGCTGAAAACTGAACTTGCTGTGCCAATGCCAGAGAGACACAGGAATTGCCTTGTGAGTGCTGGGTGAAGTCCCTGAAATATAAAGGGTTACAAATGATGCCCAGAGATGAATTATAAGTGGAGCAGGCAGCATCTCCCGACTGCTGAGAGGAGAAGCCTGGGGAGAGACAAGAAGGAAACTGGGGAAGCCAACAGGTCTGGACTAGCCTTGAAGCCAGGCTGACCCCCATCATAGAGGCCAGACGGAGATGAGCCTGACAAACCAGTTGGTCACCCCTCCCCATCTACCAGTGTCCTGTGTGGGGATGACAGAGACGCTGTCTATCCCACTCACACCACACTGTATCTGTCTAATCGCAGCTCCTTGGATTCCCTGCTCTCTGAGTGTTTGCTTTGTGTCTTGGGGATTTGGGCATAGCAATGTGCTGGGCTGGGGAAGTAAAGTACCATGCTGAGCTGGGCTGGGGAAAGGAGTCTGTCTTTTTTTTGTTCTTTGGAATAATAAAGTAAAATTTAGTTTCTCACACTCCAAGTGTAGTTTGTTTTGCATTAAATACCCAGCAGATTCAGAGTGGAGTTTAACAGTAAAAGCAATGCTAACATGGTCTGGTACGGAAATACACAGTGAGGTCACCCATACAACCTCACCTCTGCCCTGTCATAGGCTAAATTTTAGGCAGTATATTCACAAATTGATATACGTATAATATGGCTGAAGTGATTCTACTCTCTGAACTGGGTTTCATCCCAAGATCCCCACTCTCTCAGCCTTACCACCTGCCTAATTCTAACTCAGATCCGTTTAAATCAATGGGGCTATTTGCTGTAGTAAAATTAAACATTTGAATAAGGTTTTGTGGGACTGGGAGTTTAGATTGCTGGGTTTGGGAACCTCTCTCTGTTGATGCTTGGCCTGTTCCTCATATCACAACTTTCCCCAAATTAATTCATGTCTGATTACCAAGTAATTGTGTCTGAGTTAATACCTTTAATTTTAATACAGCAGCAGTCAGAGGCTCCACAGAAGACTAAGACCTGGTCTACACTGGGGGGGAAGAGGGGGGGAAATATCGATCTAAGTTACGCAACTTCGGCTACATGAATAACGTAGCTGAAGTCGACGTACTTAGATCGACTTACCATGGTGTCTTCACCACGGTGAGTCGACTGCGGCTACTCCCCCATCGACTCCACCTGCGCCTCTCGCGGTGGTGGAGTACAAGAGTCGACGGGAGAGCGCTTGGAGGGTCGATTTATTGCGTCTAGACTAGACACGATAAATCAACCCCCGCTGGATCGATCGCTGCCTGCCGATCTGGCAGGTAGTGTAGAAATACCCTAAGGCCATATTGTTCTAGGTACTGTATATACACATCATGAGAGACAGCTCCTAAGGGAATGAGCTTACAATCTCAATATGCAGAACAGCCAACATAATGATTTTTTCAATGTCAGAAGTGACTCTGTAATCTAAAGGGCTACGAGTGATGCCCCAAGTGGAATGGTGAGGGGAGGGGGCAGCACCTCTCGATTGCTGAGAGAATGAGGTTCTGCACCTAAAGCAGGTATTCAACTTCTGTTATGTGTGAAATATGCCAATTGTTCTTTCCCAGAATTACAGCACTTACCCCTTGTCAAGGCTGAATCCCCAGTCTAGCACTTCGAGTGCAGAAGGTAGGGGCCCGCAAGGATTCTAAAAATTAATACTTGCCACTCCAGGCTTGTATTAAACTCCCAAGGTTACAGCTTTTCTCTGACCTTGGCTTGGTAAATGCTGCCACCACCCAAATGCAAAATACCCCCTTTGACCCAGGAAGGAGCACTTGGGAATTCCTCCCTGTGGGGTACCCTCAAGCCCTTTTATCCTCACCCCCACCCTCCGGGGAGGAGCTGAGAAAGAAAACAAAGGAAATTAGCTGTTGCCACCAGCTAATCAAACAGCATATGCACAAACCTCTTAGGACACCAAAATCCGATCCTGTTCTTAAAAAGAGTAAATTTTATTAAAAACTAAAAGGAAGAAAATATATTTGGAACTTAGGCTTTTGCTAGATTTTAAAAGAGCAATTACAAAAAATTAAGCACCCAAAATAGCTTTTTGGGGGTTCAGCTTAAAGGTTACCAGCAAACAAAAGCATCTGGGGTTAGCACAGAGGAGTCCACAAGCCTTAAAAATAAACAGAAATAAACCTAATTGCGTCTTTCTAAACATTACTAATTTACTTACATATTTGGGTTGTTAAAAGTAGTTCTAGATATGATCTGATGATTTTCATATCTGGTTCAAACTTTACACAGTATGTCTGCTGCCCCGTCTCTTCAGCCCAGAGAGAACAACCCCAGACAAAGGGAAAGTTTCTTTCTCAATTTTTAAATTGCCTGCCCATTGGCTCTTTTGGTCAGGTGCCCACTTCCTCTTCTTTATCTGGGGGACTTTTTAACCCTTTACAGGTAAAGCAAGTAGAGAACAGCTACCAAGAGGGATTTTACAGCTAACTGGCTGGGACTGGGTGTCCATCATAGAATAGAATCATAGAATATCAGGGTTGGAAGGGACCTCAGGAGGTCATCTAGTCCAACCTCCTGCTCAAAGCAGGACCAATCCCCAGACAGATTTTTGCCCCAGATCCCTAAATGGCTCCCTCAAGGATTGAACTCAAAACCCTGGGTTTAGCAGGCCAATGCTCAAACCACTGAGCTAAACCACTGAGCTATCATCTCCCCCTCCCCCTTCATTTATCACATTTTCTGAGAAAAGTAAATCTGTTACTGGCTTTAGCAATAATCATTAGCAATGGGTCTGTTCAGCCATTTAGCACCGACTGTCAGATCCTGCCATATAGTGCTTCCCCTCAAAGCACCATACTATTCTGAGTAAGGTATTTTAGTGCTTGTGGACCCAGATTATGTTAAACTGAGGTTTAGGTTTTGGGTAAGTTTTTCAAAAGCCTCTTTTCAAATATGACTTCAGGTTGGACTTTTTTTAAGGTATTAGGCAGCTGAGGCTGTAGATAGGGGCCTAATGGGGTTGTCAGAGCAGGTTAGGAAGCAGGGGTAGCTCCTGAAAAAGATTTTGGTGCCGGGCTGCTACTTTCACTTTAGGTACCAGAATCTGCCATTTAGAGGCCACTGATCCTCAACCGCCTCCCGCACTGAGCTGCTGCCGAACTCTGAAGGTGTCTAAAGATCCTATGCACCTAATTTTCCGTCATTTAATTCCCCCTCATGCCAACAAATCTGGTAATGGACATGCATACAGCTGCCTCAGACTATGCACACTGATCCCTATTTCATACCTAAGCCCCAGCACACTCCTCACACTAAGGCTATGTCTACACTACCACAGTAAGTCGACCTAGGCTTCACAACTCCACCTACGTGAATAATGTAGCTGGAGTCGACGTACCTTAGGTTGAGTTACCGCGGGAGGTCAATGGGAGAAACTCTCCCCTTGACTTACCTTACTCTTCTCGGCAGGGGTAGAGTACAAGGGTCGACTGGAGAGCAATCTGCTGTCGATTTTGCAGATCTTCAGTAGACCCGCTAAATCGACTGCCGGTGGATCAATCTGAGCGTTGGTCCCGGCTGTCGTGTAGATGTAGCCTAAGTGTTCCCTGGCCTATCTCGCATGTGGCTGCCCCACTGCCCCCTCAGGTTTGTCCCAGTTCCCTACCCCATTTCTGAGGGGGAGGGGGCCTGAGGCCAAATTTGGTGCTGCAACCCACATGGCACAATGCCACTCGCTCAATTTTGGCCCCAGAGCCTCCCCTCCCCCTTACATAACTGTGCTGGGACATTATGGCCTATGCAGAGTGCGCAGAGCAGCAGCCCCGGAACCGGACCACCTGGTGCTTCACCGCCCACATCCAGGTGCAGCATGGGGAGCTGCCGACAGTGCCCACATGGGGGACCCAGACAGGAGAAGGACATGAGTGGGTTTTGCCAACAGCCCACAGATGGGTTAATCCAGCCCTATGAATAACCAGAGGAACCTGATGGCAAAGCACTGACAGCTCCATGAGCCGAGTTAGGGGAGCAGAGCTTGTAACTCCGGCCCAGGGCTAGTAGCCAGTGAGCCTGGTGTGGAGACAAGAGACTGTCTCTGACAATCTGCTCCCTCTGCCCATCTGTTACCAGAGTGAATCACACACAGAGTCAGTGTCCCCGAGAAATGTGTTTCCTACTGCTCCTGGTTCTGGGCTGCCTCTCTCGGACCAGGACCCATCACCCGCATGACCAGGTTGATATTGGGGATGCTCTGGAACAATCCCCAGTCTCCACAGAAACCCCCCGTCTCCCCCTTCCCTGGGATCTGGATGTCTCCTTTCTGCCCATTGACACACCAGCTTCTATGCATGATGTCCCGTTAATGCTGAGAGAAGCTGCCCATTCCCAGGGGACATGGGGCCCCCAGTAGGCAGGTTCTGTGGCAGGGGGGCTGCAGTGCAATCCCTTGATCGCTAGGACCCAGGAAGAGCTAGGATGCGGCTCTGGGAGCAATTGCTGGGTTCACTCTGTCCTGGGGGCAGGAAGGGGGTACAATATGAATCGCACTTGCTGCAGTACCTGGGGCACTGCGGGGAGCCCACGCTCCTTGCAAGGTCCGCAAGCCCCGGCGGCTGCTGCTGGGGACCCAGGAGCCCTGACTGCAGCCTGGAGAGGCAAATCTCTAGCAGTAACATTCCCGCTGCTCCCCAGGAGCCTCTCCCAGTGCAGAGACCCCAGCCTACCCCTTCTCGGGTTCCAGCCCCTGCTCCCAGGGAGGGCACGGCTTGGAGGGAATGTAAGAGAACCTGCCCATCCCTACTCCCCCTCCCCCCCCAGGGAGCGGTGCCTCCTGGTGCCAGCCTGGCTGCAGGGGGAGGGTTTGTCCCCAGGCTGCTCCCAGCTGAGCTGGCTGCAATTCCCTGCTCTATGCCCAGGAAAGCTGCCGCCAGCTCCCATTGGCTCGCAGCAAAATGTATATTGGCTTCTTTGTTCATTTCTTTAAGTTGCCTTTTGCTTGTCTTGGAGCTTTCCATGGGGTCGGGGGTGGGGCAGAGGACTAAGCCCTAAGGGCTCTGAAGCTAAAGGCGAATATCCCCACAGAACTTGCCCACAACAGACACACTATTTCATTATTTTCTTAAGCCAAACTCATGATATCTGGGCTCTGGCTCCTGACTGGGACTGTTTGGGGTGACAGGACGGACCAGGGCCCCTCTTAGATTTCTGAGCAGGAATCAGGGCTCAGAGTCACCCCCAGAACAGCAGGGGATAGAGCTGGATGAGCGAATAGGATCAGCATCTGCCTGGGTGTCCTGGGGGGCTCAGTCATTAGCTGCTGCCACCAGCAGGCCTTGGGTATTGCTGAGGGAGAAGAGGCTGGTGTCTGCCTCTCTCTGGCCTAAAGAAGGGCTCTAAGTAGCTCAAACACGTGTCTCTTTCCCCAAGCAGAAGTTAGTCCAATAACTAACCAACTGGTCTCTCTCTGCTCATGGTATTAGAGCTCTGGAGTTGGTTTATGTGGGTCAGATGCTGCTGCCT